AAACAAACAAACAAACAAACTGACCAACAAAAAACAGGCCTGCAGGTAATAGCTTTCTGCAGGTATGATTTACAGGTGCCTGCAGTGTATGTACAGCAGCTTGTTCCTGTGTAATCTAGAGGATAAATGCATTTGTACAAGAAGCTGGCCTTGGGACATGCCTCCGTAATCAGAACTACCACCAGCCAGTTCATGCTGACAGAAGAGCTTTGCCACAGCGAGGTATTACTAGCGGCATCTGTAAGATGGAAACCTGAGGCACAGGAAGCAGGCAGCGTTGCCTCTCGGCTCATTCGTGTGTGGTGGTGGTGGTTGTGGGGAGCCCAGGCTCCTCTTTTAAACCACTCCGGGGGGATTTTCCCTTCCCATCCCTGTGGTACGTTCCTCCCTACCCCCTTGCAGCGGCAGACAGGGCTGGGGGTGGGCAGTGAGAGGGGCCATGGAGCAAGGGGCCGGGAGGGGAGCTGTTTTCACCCTCCTCTGCATTTGCTGCCCCAGGCAAATGCCCTTCTCCTGCCCCCAGTGGCCTTAAAACACAGGTTCCCAGTTCTACACCCCTCACCTCCATGCAGCTCCTCCTGTCCCTCAGCTGCCAGGGAAAGAAAACAACAACAGGTGTAAAATTAATGCTTTTCTCCCCTATGGCTTCAAGGGGACTGGGCTGCTGTGCCAGAGCTGACTGCTTTACCTTTTGGGACCTTGTGCCGCGCTCCCACATTAAAAGGTTTGTTTGCTTTAAGAAAGCATGTGCCGTCATTGTGAAGGAATGTATAAAATCTGGTGTCAATAAGCTTAATTGGTGTGAAGGCCTGATTGGGTTTGGGGGAAGAGGTGCAGATATTGCCTCCTGCTGAAAAGAGGCCTGGCAGCTTGGCTTTGCTGGAGAGAGCTTCAGAGCGGTGACCTGAGGTGTGTGAGTAAAATCCTCAGCTGAGGGCTGGAAGGAAAAGTGCAATTAGTGGTGGTTGCTGATGGTAGTCAGTTCTGATACACTGAGTAGAGTTAATGCTGAAATGCATGGAGGTATTAGGGCAGAGCTAGGAGAGCTGGTGGGTCTGGGAGGAGAAGCTTGAATCGTGAAAGAGAGGAGGCTTTCTGGATCTGGGGTAATATGGGGTTCCTAGGGAGAAGCTTGCCAGCAGAACTAGAGAGTCTTGGTTCCTGCTGGTATGGCTCAGCCTTCCTAGGAAGACACTTCAATGTGCGTTTGATTAAGAAGAAAATGGGCAGAACAAGTGGAAAATAACAGTACATATCAAAGAAAATTCCAGTGGGCAAGAGCTGTTAGTTGGCTTCAGATAGAAAGGCTGGGCTGTTCTAAGTGATCTGCTTTTTAGAGGTAAGCGAAAGGGGTACAAGTGTACACTTCAGGGTATAAGAAATTGAAGGGCAGCACAGCTGCTAGAAAATTAAAGTTGATGTATTTGCCTGTATAAATGCAGCATGTTTGCCAGAACTCTGCAGTTGGATTAAACTGAAAGCGTATGTTCTCCAACTTTAGGATTATCCTACACTGGGCTGCATCTATCACTTCTGCTCTCTCCTCAGCAAAACAGCTGAAGTTCTGTGAACTAGCAGAATCGCAGATCTAAAGTCCAGCATTCCTTGCACCACTTTCAGTTCACTCCTTAAGCTTCCTTTTCTGCTTTGTCC